TTCTGGACAGCGGGCAGCAAGGCTCTGCTTGCCGTGGCCTGGTGGGCGTCCTGCGTAACCACGCTGAGTTGTTCCATGGCGCCACCTTCTCGCAGGCCTGTAAGCCAGCGGTGCCACCGACACGTCCGCGCCCCGACTAAGTCCACAACCACCTCAGCCGAGAAGGTCTTCTTGTCCCGGCTGCAGACCTGGACCATCTGAATCTTCTCGCTCCACCTCCCGGTCCAGGGGCTGTACTCCCACTCACCGTCGCCGTCGGAGTAGTCCATGGGGAACACCTCGGCATTCCCGAAAACACCCTCAGCCGAAATCATGAGCACCTCTTGGCCGTCCAAGGAAAACCCCTCGAAGTCGCCCTCCTCGCTGACGTCAAACATCAAGTAGCAACCCGGACTTGCTGCACAGACGGAGTCCTGTAAGCCATTGCGCTGGTAAAGGCGGAGGTCGTTCGAGGAAGGTGCCATGGATGCCGCGCCGTCCTCGACCTGCTGAATCTTGTTGCCCTTTCCCCGCAGAGGGTGCATGAGGGCACTCGTTCTTCCAATGGCCGGCCTTTCCGCAGTTGTGGCACTGCCCTGGAAACTTGTGGCCATTGCCGGCGCCGCCTCCTTTCCAACCCGGCTGTCCCTTCCTCGCCCTGGCCCTTCCACTGGCCATGGTTGTTCCACTTGTCGCCGCCTTTGCCTTTGGACTTTCCTTTGTCCTTTCCCTTCTTGCCCTTCTCGCCCTTCTTGCCCTTCTCGCCCTTCACAATGTCCACGTCCATAGGTTGTACACTTGACCTTGGTCACCTCCTCCGTGTACCGCGTCTTGTCCGACAACCTTAGCTGAATTTGCGACTTGAGAGGCTCACTGAGGTTGCCGACGATGGTGGCAACCGACAAGTCCTCGGGAAACTTCTTTCCGCTCGTGCTTTCGTAGGTGCGGACCGCCTCCTCGTAGGCGATAAGCTGCTCATGAAGCCCGCTCCCCTCCTTGAAGCTCCACATGGCCAACTGCTTCACGCTGGCCAGGGTCCTTGATCGCTCTTTCGGTTCCCCGCTTCAACAACCTGATGGCCTCATAGCCGTTCTTCTCCTTCTCCAGGCCCCGTATGATGAGGAGAGGTCTTCCCTTGACTAGGGAACACAAAACACCATACACACGCTGGCTGCGCTCCACCGAGTCATTCGGCATGATCTCATGGTCGCAGGGGGTATCTAGATCAATGAGGCCGACCTCCTCCTCCTCATACTTGTTGTCTGTGGCATTCAGCCACGTGCAGAACTGGAAGAACCAGTCCCTCCAACTTCTTAGCTCCTCCTCTCTGTTGCTGGGTCTCCAGCTCTTCACCTTGATGGCCTTCACGAGGTAATTCTGCTTGGTGGCGCTCGCCTGCGCCTCCGCCGCTTGAGCGGCGCGCTCCGTTGCACCAAGGACCTTTGAGAAGACATTCCCAAAAGCCTCTCTGCCGCACCAGTGTGTCCACTTGTGCCTGGGCAACTGCGTCCATCCCAGGTGCCTGGCCCATTGCCTGTGCCGTCTGGGCGGCTTGTGTTGCCTGGGCAGCTTGCGCTGCCTGAGCTGCTTGCGCGGCCTGCGCTGCCTGGGCAGCATGTGCTGCCTGCGCAGCATCCAAAATTCCTTTCCCCACACAAACCACCAGCAGGTGAAAACTTGCTGGACTCTGTTCCACTCTTGGTCTGGATCTTCCTGTGGCTCTGCCCGCTCCTCTGTCCACTGCAGCTGCCAGCCCAATCGTAAGCACTGACGAAAAACTTCTTTGAACTGAATCAGAATTGGTGCCTTCCTCTTCTCGCCAAACTGCACAGCTACTCTGTATGACTCAAGGGCCCTTATGGCAGCAGATATATACAACAGTTCACGCATGCATCTCATGACTGCGGTTCACAATCAAGC